GTACCAGTGCAAGGTTTATAGATTATAATTATTATTGTTCTGTGGTATTATCAAGGTTTTTATTCCTTGAGTATTATATAGATAACACGAAATGGCGGTTAAATTCATGTAAACATCGTACTTTTTTGTTTGCTATTGCTATTACAATTATCTCGGCTCCGATGACCGATGTCCGATAGTCTGATTAAGTCATTCTCATTTATACTTCTGTTTTTATTGTTTTTAATATCCACGATATAGACAATTCAAACGTGTAATATCATACAAAGATGTCCATTATTTACCTAGTAATAACTAATATAGGTAATAGTGTTTAATTTAAATAACTTAGTATGACATTTTTATGTAGTTTACTTGTCTGTGTTCATTTGTTCATCAAGATTTGAATATTTTGTACACATAACATTTTTTAGTCATGAAATAGTGTCGAATTTGACGATACATATCAAAATGAGCGAAAAATCATTCAAAAATCTTAAAGCTAAGTTGCTAGAATGCAACAAGTTACCAGAACCAATAAAGGACATATTAAAAATAACGGTAAAATTATTTTGTTTGAATCTTTAAATTTCTTAGAATATAATGAATTTAAATAACTAAATTATTAAATATTAATAATACACAGGTACAAATCAAATATGTATTTATATATTTTTGTTATGTACCTTGGTGTCTTAGTAATGGTAAGGCGGTAAATCGAAAATGTATTGATTAAAGTTATGACATCTTATTGACACTTTTATACTCATTCTGATTAAATATACTCAACCATTAAAAAAAATAGAGTATACCTTAAGCTTAATCACTTTAAATTGTCCATTATTGCTGAGTCTGTTTATTCAATATAATTTTTTATTTATTTTGGGGATACATTTTTTTGATCCTCCTTACCAATGATTCTTATTAATGAGAAAATTATGTGTCCCCTTTAATTTTAGTCTCCAAAGTCTGGGGGGTCGCTTAACAAGAAATGTATTATAATTTTACGTTGCGTGTTAATTTTTTGATAATTTATTAAATGGCTTACGCCATTGATTAATCATCRAATTGAAACGTATCTGATTTCGCAAAAATAATCTCCACGTTTTTGGAGATGGGAACGTGTGATATAAGCGATTATTAAATAATAAATTATAATGACTATAATAATGTAATGGTGTAATAGTTTAGTGGTGTGTCTAACCTAACCTATACTAGCTTTGCTGGTTATATAGTRTGGGTAGTTGTCGAGGTACTTGTATTAATTATAAATAATATTTATATAGTTTATGATACTTATATATAATAAGTATTGAGTAAAAAAAAAAAAACAAAATATATATTAATACAATTTCATTTACAGTCATAATACACATGTGTAAATGTATAATAAGTTCTTAAAATACAAATAAATAGTTTAACTTTCACCCCCCAAAAAATTGTGTTTTTACCTCTTAGGGGGTAATTACCCCCAGGTTGGGAACCGCTGGTGTATACTAATTTTATTATAGCTTAAATATACCACTATTCACTGGCGTATCCAGAGAGGGTGTTTGGTAGTTGTAACCCACTCCAAAACTTTTTCAATGTTTAATGTATAATTATTGATTATAATAAAAACACACAACATTCAAAACCATATAATGTTATATTTTTCATAACCCTCCTCCCATCAAAAATGTATTTAGTTATCATAAAAGACATAATTTAAAATAATTTAATTGTATTGTATTTGTTTAGAACAATAATTCATTAAAAGACCTAGATGAAAACAATTTCAATCATTTATGGATTTTGATACATGATTTCATCAAGGAAACTACACTCGCTGAAAATATTACAGAASATGTAGAGCTATTGTTATGTTATGAATCCATTTTGAACCTTGTCAACTATACAATTACTTGTGCTGATGACAACATATTAGGTGTATTACTTAAAACTATACTGGTTTTTCAAACTTTTTACACTACAAATCTCAAATATAAGGTAAATTTTTAAGTTATATAAAAACTATTAGACTACCTACATTAATATAAAATAATAATTAAAAAACTGTAATTAATTATAATATAACTTTGTAACTAGGTACCTATTACAAAACATTTTAAATTTTCAAAAACATAAAAAATGGGTGCTGTGCTTGTTTATCTAATTATTATTTATTATTCTCTGATTATAAAGTTAAATTATACTTCAACATTTTTTATTAGTAGGTACCTATCAAGCTTAACACGTTAACAACCATGTAGCCGACAGCGGYCACAAGAATATTTATCATGGGTACGCCAAGGAAATTTTCAGTGTCATTATAAATTTGTATATATAGGTACTATTGAATTTAAAAAAAAATTWAAAATACAGAAAAAAATTTTAAAATTATGTTTATTACATCAAAAGAATTACAATTATTCTGGTTACGCCACAATGCATTTTCAAGATCATTATTGTAGCACCATAGAAAGGTTAATAATATAAATCAAAATTAATTTACTTACGAATGATATGKTGCAGCAGCTAGAGTTCTAAAAATTATCAATACCTCATTATTTTTATCGGRGCGCCGACGGCCACATGGAAATTAACGTGTTAAAAATCAATTTAAAATTGACTACTATTCATTGTTTTGTTTAATTCACTTCAAGTATAATTGATATATCTATTAAAATACTATTTTATTAAAATATTCTAGTACCAATTTACTATTTTAAGAGCATAATATACATGGTATAAGAATATTTTTCTRAATATCAAATACTTTGTTGCATATTTTAATAACATTTTTTTTAGTTCAAAATAGATATAATAAAAATGTGCTGTAGCTTCTGGCAATTAGTAACTTCATCACCAACACAAAATGGAACTGACAATATATACAATTTTGACTTAATTTTAACTCAAAATTTTGTTTTTACTTTTAATTATCTATTTGATACTATTAAAGTGACTACAAAAAAAATGGATTTGGTAAGATGATGATACCTACCTACAATATTTTATTTGTTTGTTTTTGTAACATGCATTATTTTTATTTGAATGTTGAAGAAAGTATTATCTACTTTACTCTGGGAATTTTGCAAGATTGTGAGCAATTTGCCTTCCAATATAAATGGATTAAACTTAATTGTTCCAAATTTAAAAAAATTGATGAAGTACCCATTGTTTCTGGAAACCGAAACAGGAAAATTGACTATTGCAGATATATTTACATGTAGTCAACAACTATTTCTCGTAATATTTTAAGTAACAAATAATTTAAGATCAATACTTATATATGCAGTGGCATAATATATGTTTTTCCTCTTTCGGTACAATTAATTACATAGGCGGATCTACGGGGTGTGCCAAGGCACATCCTAATATAAAGAGCAAAAATTAAATAATAATAATTAATAATATAATATATACACATTAATTTAATTTTAGTTTTTTGTAAGTAAAACTGAAAGTGTTCAGAATCAGTCTGAAATAATGAAATATTTAATAAAAGTAATAATTACATGAATTTTTTTATCAATAATATTGTTATTTTACATTATTAATGAAGCCTGTATATTTATAATTTAAATCACTACACTGTCTACAGTTCTACACGTATTTGTTTATCGTTATATTGTTAAATGATATTATTATTCAATGTTATTGTCGTCAATACGAAAACGTCACGGTCGGGACCAATAGCGGTGGTAACTATTTTTAGCGAAAAATATTGCCTTTTCATGGAAATCGACATCGCGCTGATAACGATAAAAAAATACTAATAATAATAATAATACTTTTGGTAATTGGTATTTCATTTATTTTTYCATTATTTAATGTGATGTGATTTGTTTATAGCCTCATTCCCTCTGTAATATAAAAAAAATAAATACAAAAAAGAGCCGGGCACATTCAAATGTAAAACTCTGGATCCGCCTATGATTAATTATCAATAACACTACCCACCAATTCATTGGTTTAAAAATTATTGTTAGTGTGATTATTTTGTTCAAAAACTAATTTGAATATACTTTACTTTTTATTTTTTAAATAAAGTGCCACTGCTTATTATAGGTATAACTATTAACTATTTAAATGTAATTTTATATATTTTTCCAGAAATTTCATCAAACAGTTAAACAAAACTTACCAAAAGCAAACAAATCAGAAGCTGAAGCATATGGGGAGATATATTTTATTTCTTGGATAAATTCTAGTTCATCCATAAAAGAAGTAAATTTTTATAAACATCAACAATATTGATTTTWAATTTTATTATAAGTATATAATTACAGATAATTGAAGAACAAATATTTGATTTAATATCCAAAACACTGACATTACGGCGTACAGGTTTAGCTTTTTATACTTACCGTAATGCTTTAATTCTTTTGCAAAGTATGCAAAAACACAGAAAACATTTAATGTTCAGCAAAGTTATTACCAAGCTATATGCTCCTGTTATTTGGAGACAGTTAACGGTATACTTGACAATTTTACTTTTAGAGTAACATCATGTTTATAACAATTTGTTTGTATTTATGATACCTAAATAGAGTGAATTTAGTGTTGTGAGATGCAATGCTACTGACATTTTAGCAAGAGCTTATCCTTTGGAAAAAAGAGGAGAAGGTCGAGAAATATCTTCAAGGTTTTTAATGAAACAACAAAATGCATTTCTGGATTTATTAGTAGATGTTTGCCCTCAAGTTCGAATAGCTGCTATAAAAGTATGTGAATTAATGAGTTAAGGTATATATTTTTTAGTTTGAATGTATATAGTACATTGTAAAATAATGTCATGCTTATGACTTTAAAATGCAATAAAATTAAAAATTATGGTCACTAAAAACCAAATATGTTAAATTGCTTTTTATAAAACAATATTTATAGCATATTAAACTCATTCGTTGCTTCTATAATATTTATTTCTAAACCTATGTTTTGAAACCAAATTTTAAATTTACAATTTAGTTTTTTCTTGGTGTCTTGGAGTATGTACTGATAATGTACCATTCATACTAAAGAAAAAAATGAATACTATTAATTCCAAATAGTACACAAACCATATCTAATGTTTGAGATCTGATTTGGCTTAATTGTTCTAAATTGTATAATTAAAATGGATTTGATTCATTTCTATGCTCAACTGTTATTTTTATTTTTAATGCAAATTTTTGTATTATTATTTTACTTTAATGTATCATATTCATTCAATTTATTCATATATGATTTGAATTCTTACAGGGAATTTGTAGCTGCATGAGATATTTTTGGAATTCATTTGAAGATGATCAAATAATTGAATGTTTTAAATTATTTATACGTTTAATTGATGAAAGCGTATTTGAAGTAAGAAGKGTTTTATTTTATGGATTTTGTCAGTTACTCGACGAGGTTAAATCCCACAGCTACTTTAAGAACCCTTTCCTTATTACAAAAATGAAAAATACATTTAGTGATGAAAATGAAAAGGTTCGGCGTTCTTTTATACATTTCTTACTGAAAATTAAAAAGATTGATAATCAGTCAGACACCAAAGATAAAATCAACTTTACAAAAATAGTTGACTTAAGAGATATTGCTTTTGCACTTGCTGTAAGTAAAAATATTATTTAAACCTAAATCTGTTAATATTTAAATGTTTTCCATTGCAACATTCATTTTATAGTTAATTATAATTTGTTTAGCGTGAAGATAAGCAAAATGGACTTTTACTTGTTGATTTAATTTTTGATAACTTTATTGGAAATAGAGTACCCGACAAGCATACAACACTTAGAAGATTTTATACATTTTACAAAATAAATCCCAGTGCTTTTCGTAAACTGATAATTTATTCAGAAAAACATCTTGACTTCAATAGTGCTTGCAAACTGATTTTATCATTATTAAAAACTGTATATAGTGCACTAAAAAAAAAAGAAGAACGTTTGAAAAATATAGATAAAGAAAATGATATGCCTCCCAAAAGGCATAAATCAAATGATGATTCCGGTATTAAAATTAATGCGTTAATGAGAAAATTTCAAAAATTATTACACTAATAGTATTATGTTCCAGATATATCCAATGATACACATAATTCATCTTGCAGTTCATCATCAGTTAGTAATAATGATGATGAAGAACAGAATGAACATAATAATATATGTTGTATTTTGGACTGTGTTAACTGCCTTATGATACTCCATTGTAATGAATTTAAGGATGAAGAAGCCCGTCAACAAATTAAAGATATTCAGGATTCTTCCATCACATGTTTAATTAAAATACTCAAGTTCTATAAGGTAATTTTTTGTCACTACTTCAAAATCAAAATAATTTGCATACAAATTAGTCAATTAGTACTTAGATAATAAATATGTTTTCACATTATTTATAGGAAGGTGATGCTTACTACAGTGCAATTAGCTTAGCAAGTTTAATGCCGGTGACAAAATTGAGTGMCCATGTATCAATAACAAGTACAGCATTATCTACTTTAAAACAGTTGCCTTATGATATAAATCAAGCTGAAGAAGAGATTGATATGCGAAAAGTTAACTGTCTTGTTTATTCATTGTGCATGTGGAAACGAGGTTATGAGATACTTCAATTTGTGAATGTTTGGTTTGATGAAGCATTTAAAACTTTAAATCTTAACGAAACACAATACCCGGTATAATTTTGTAAAAATCAAAATCATGTTGAATAAGACTATATTAAGAAATTATACATTTTTATATTTTAGGATTCTAAAATTGATAAAGGGAAAAAGGTCAGATTCAAAATAAATTTTGATGAATGTAAACCAATGACTGGTATCCTATTGATAAACTCTATGATTACCAATTTACAAACACAGAAAACACTTAMAGATTCTGATGTTAATAAAAAAAATACTTACGATCTTTTCTTATACTTGCGGCGTGTTAAGGTAAAACTTCATTTCTTATATTTTAGCAATCTTTATGTTTTCTTAACATTTTGAGTAGTATCCAAACATCATAGAGTAATATCRCTTTAAAAATGATAATAGTGTGTTTTCCATTTTAATATAAATAATCTATAAGTACTCGTAATAGGTATGTAATATAATAATATTTTATTGATATTATTTTTTTATTATTTGAGATTTTAATTTTCGCATTGATTTAAATCATTCGATTGCGATCCTAAATAATCAGTTGGCAACCCCCAGGTTGAGAAACACTGTTCTAGTTGACATTWAAACAAAGGCAATCCATTTATTATTCAAAACTCTATTAATTTAACAAATTAATAAAATTATGTGCTATATTATGTTAAGAAATTAGTATTACAAAAGTTACAAAAAAAATAATATAAAAAAGGCTATGAATGATAAAAAATACTATTCACCATATCCCTTCCATAAAATATTCTTGCAATCTATATATTGCATCTTTTTCTTCCCTTTAAATAAAAATAAAAGTTAAAAAGTTAAAATTGAACTTTTGAATCCACGATTTTACCTGTAATATACATTGTCCAAGATGTGTTTTATTWGTTTTTTTTGTCCCATAATTCATGAATCAGTTTTGATACAAGCTCTACTACTTTACTCTTATTTGTTTATAATTTGAACTTTAAACTGATTTCCTTGTACAACACCAATGAATAATTGTTATTCTGCATTTATAGTTTTGACTTATTTATGTATTTTTATTAATTAGGCAGCAATTGAGAACCGAATATCTTCAGATAATGTTTTAAGTAACTTATTATCAGATGAAGTTCTAATTGAGTTATTCTTATTACATAACCGATTACATATAATTTATCATAGTAAGGAAAAAGATATTGATGAAATTATTAAGTATCAAACTTCTATTTTAGATTGGGTTATAAAGTAAGTATCTATAATATTCAAAGAAATCATCTAAAAAAATGATAAATGTAATTGATTATAATTTCAGCAATATACTTATTTATGATTTACACCATAAGGATGAAACAACTATTAAATTTGCCGTTAAAATAATTGAAATTGTTAATAAAATGTCATTAAATATGTGTTTAATGGCTTTTGTRAATACAGCGTATCTGGATGATTATATTGCATTTTGTGCTACAGTCTTGCACAGTAAGTTGTTATATACATAATTTTTTTATAAAACTAAAACATATTTGTTTATTTGTGTATAGCTTAAATTATAGGCACATTTTTTTTTCTATATTTAGATCATTTGGGTCCTTGGCTTTTAACATCAATGATTGCAACTTTAGCACAAGTCTCAAAATATTTCAACTATCTAATATATGCAGAAAAGCTTTTAAATGATACATCAATACTGACAAATTGTGTCTGTAGTATCATATCAGTTCTCAGTGAATCTAAATTTAATGCAGAACGTTTTATTAGTGTTATTGGAGTGAGTTAATTTAAATGTTTTATCATGAAAAATAGCTTAGTTATTTAATCATAGCTATACCTTAACTAAATATTTTATACTTGTGTATTACAAATTATAGACTAATATAAATAAATTCCTAGTAATATTAAGAGGACGCCATACACACATGTGTTGTCTCCTTCTTAAGAATGTGTAACATGGTTAATTTTACATTCTGAATAATCAATATAAWTCTTATGATTGATATTAGAATGAATTAAATATTGAAGTAAGAATATTATCTAATGAACAGCATAGGTATTTATTTATATTTTAATTTAAAGCAAGTTATGAGTATTTTAAAACTGAAAATTGTTTGTGCATTTAAAAAAAAAATAACAGGATAATAGGTTAATGTTCTTACTTCTAAATTTTGATTGAAAGTAAATAGACTCCAATACTAATCATAGCAAAGTTAAATCAATTATTCAGAATATACAATTTGACAGTTAAGCATTTGTAAGACAGAGACAACACAAATACGAATGTGGCTTCCTCTTAAAGTTAAAATATTAATGTTTGTTTGTTTAGATTACATTAAAAACCAGAATTTAAATTTAAAAAATAAAAATTAGTAAAAACTTTTAGTAACTTAAAATGACTATAAGAACCCAATTTTACTAGTTTTACCTATTTACATTTGTTGCAAGTTTCAGTTCATTGTTATTGTTTTAATAAAGACTTACCAATTTATATATTTGCAAAAAATAATAATAAATGCTAAGGATATATTATATTTTTTAAATAGTTCAAGTATACATATTAAAACTAAATTATTATTTACTGTGAGGTGATATTAGTTCTATGAAAACCATAGACCTTTGATCTTATACTAATAGATGGAGCAAGTTAGTAGTAAAAGTGTGTTACACTGCACTTGTTGTTTCGCACTTCTGTGTTTATATAAAGAATACAAAAGGCTGTACATTGTTAATGTGTTAACATGTAATTATCATATTATAACATGATTCTTGAACATTTCTTATAAGTTATAAATAAATTAAAGAATTACGAATCAATTTTTCTCAAATCATACTRTTAWCTTTCCTGGTTTTTGATTTCAATATTCTTGTTGAATACATGTATTGACTTATTATGAAAATTACATCATTGTAATGCAATTTGTTATCACTACACCACAAAACCCTACGGGCTTATATCATCCATCTATTAATATAAGGTCTGTAGTAAAAACTAGTTATAAATGAATGATTAAATGTAAAATTAGATGATAAAAATAAATATGGGTTTATAGTAAAGTTATTTGTAAAATCAGGTTCTTAGTTCTTACTAACTTCCTTAAATACTATAAGTTTTTACTACAACTTGAATATTATGTATATTTATAATTATTAAATTGCTAACTAGATCATTAAGGTGTTAAATAATTTTTAGGATCCAAAAATATTTCGTAGTAACTTAATTATGCTGATTTTGGAAATTTACAAGATTAATACTGTGGAATTCAAACAAGTTTTTATGACACTTATTGAAACCATTATGAATATTATTGCTAATCAAATTCGAGAAGTGAGTACTTAAAGAATTTTAGTTTCAATTTTTTACTTTTTAAAACAAGTTATCGAATGATTTTGTGCTTAATTAACTCCAAAGTTGCGTTTAATTTTTAATATTCGAATAGGCCATATAAACTTTACCTATAACATTAATAATTGTATTTAAAAATAATAAATAGTAAATATTTATATTTATATCAGTAATATTATTTTCATTTTAGATTGATGAAATTGATTTAAATGAACACCTTACAGAAATGCCATTTGCTAGTTATCAGTTAGCAGCAGTGATTTTAAATAATGCGAAGTTAAGAAAACATTTTTCGTCTAATGCAGTTGTAATATTCTCGTCTGATGTATTTAAAAATGTAAAAATTAATTTTATAACAAATTCTCTTGTATTATCATGCATTTGTATTAATAGTTTTTTAATTTTACTTTAGGACTATGTCTTATTACTATCAGCAATATCTTATGTTTACACTTTATCATTTCAATTAAGCAAAACAATAACAATTGATCTTGAACCAGTTGTAAAACTGCTTTATAAAATTTTGATGGAACATGACAAAACTAGAACTCCACTTGGTGATAACTGCACCATAAATAATACAAAAGCTGACCGAGGTGTTTCTGTTTTGGAAACCTCAGACTTCAGTAATGAGTAAGGGATAATTTAATACATTAAATTATATAATAATTATTAATAGTTATACATATTCTCACAAATTATTAAACATTTTTACAGAATTACAAATTTCAAACAAAAAGGACGCAATGTTTTAATCGCAACTGCTAAGCAATTGCATGTTACTTTATCTGAGTAATAGAATTAAGTTTTTCTCTTAAMAAARGAAAATATTAAATTAAAAAAACAAAAATGAATTATCGGTTAATATATAATATATTATCGTGTTTAAAACCAGCAAAAAAATTAATATTTGCTAATTTATGTTAAGATATTTTTTTATTAAGTTTAAATATGAAATATTTAAAACAAAATATTTTGTGCCATATAATTTTATGCCCAAATGTTATTAAAATATTTATGGAACAAAGTAAGATATTTTTTTGTACATGATTTAATTTTTTTTTTATATACTCAAAATCATACTTTATAATTGTTCTAATAGATGCATGGAGATATTTGACATATTCATAAAACTATTTGATTAATTAACTTATTGACAACAAAATGTGAATTATTATTATAAACCAAAAAAATGTAAAAGTAGTATAATTTTTTTTACTTAAAATATTTTGTATCTTCATTTTAATAATATAGAACTATATATTATAAATACTTTTAGTTATAATATTAAATTTATAACAAACCCATAAATATACCACAGAGCTGAAGACAGAAAACAGTCCTATTCCATTTTGAATAACATGGCGTTATTGTGTTACTATGCTTCTTCCTCATTTTACTGTAAGTATAAGTTTAATCAATAGTATCATTTAATTTGTCCTATTGGGCAGAATATTGAGCTTCATAAACTACTTTACAATGCTTTTATCGTAAGGTAAATGTATTCGTTTTATAATGATGTATGTTTTTGCCATTACCTCAGCTAATTATATGAGACATGAATAGTTATTTTTTATGTACTATACAGTATACATAGAGTATTAATGGAAACAAAGGTAAATAAGTTAATGAAATTAATGAACTCAAGTTAACTTAAAAGAACACAAGCTTGATAAGTTAGAAATTAACAGTTAACGAATTATAAATAAATATAGAAAAAAAATAGTAACTTAACTTTCTAATTTTCTAAATAGTATAACTTCTTTGTTTTACATGATTATTAAATATTTAAATTATTATTCACATCTCAATTAATAATTTAACAAATGTTATTCTTTTTATATTAAATAGTAATTCAAAGTCATATGATAGGTATTGTACTATTTGTACTTAATCAGTAATGTACACAGGATTTTAGTTTGGTTAGGGTTTTACATGAGTAAATAATTTTAATAATAATAAACAATTTAAATAATTTGCTTTACAGTTTTTATATGATTGGTCATAACAAATTATGATTAATAATAAATTAATGATTTAATTTATATCTTGGTATTAAAAATTAATTACCAACAATTGATCGACTCTGTGTATTGAAATAGTGATAAATAAGATTTTTTTTGTAAAATGAAAACATTTCAGGGGGGCAGAACCCTAAAATCCTACCCCTGTGTACACCACTGTGCTTAATAATATCATACCTATATAATCTATTAAAAATATCTATCTATAAACAAAAACAAAATTATGTTATCAAGAAAAATAACAAATTTTTGTATAAAAGTATTAAATTTTTATTATTTTTATTTTAATATTTATATTTACTAACCTACGCATAAAATCATTAAATTAATACTATGTAAAGAAAAATATTACTAGGTACTTATAACCTAATGTCTATAGTATATTAGTATAGAGATGTGATATAGGTACAAATTGTAATTTAAATTATTATTATTATACTTACATAATTGACTAATTAATTTCCAATTTTTAAGACAAATATAATTTCATTGTGAGATTACGTATTGTCCTATTGAAACATTTAACTGTATAGGTTCAGACGGTACAGTGAACGAAAAGGGAGGATACAGTGGGATGTTACTATGTTAGGTATTCCTTCACTTTTAAAGTTTACTTTTTCCACCCTTTCATTTATTTTGTCAAATAAATAAAACATCCCCCTTATAATTATTTACAAAAATTAGCCATTTATTTTCGTGTTTTTCATAACTTTATTTTTACGGTTGTTCTTTAAATTAATTTTACAACAAAAGGTACAATGGCCATTGATATTGATTAATACCTAATAAAAATATTACTTTTTTGATAAAAAACTAGTACCTACTTATTTGTTCTCTGGTCTAAATTGAGAATACTATAGACCAAATAAATCTAAACATAATTTCTAAAACTTGTAATATGTTGATTATAAGATAATACGACTCKTAACTGTTTGGGTTACGATCCGTTTGAGGAACAGGTGTGTTTAGGGTAAGGATTCGTCACTTAAACCCGGTTGGTCACACATCCGGGACCTAGAGACACTAGCTAATGCTTGACCTCAGAACACGTCAATGACTGAGGCCATTTAACAAGCCAGATCAGGCTTCAATATAGCGTCTATAATGATTAATGACACTAAATAATTACATTTTAATGTAGCAAAACTTATTTTACAAAAATTAAAATTATTTTAGAAAAAATGTATAAACAACCTTTTATTTATGTATTATTAAAAATCAATAAATAACAATAATGATTTAAATAATGCATAAACTGTAAAAATTTCAATTATACAAGACGAGTTTTCTTATAAGTACCCTATAGTTATGTTTACTTATTTTTACAGTTCACTATCCATAATTAGTTACTATCATGATATGTGTTATGTACAGTTACATTTCTTATCATATTCAATATACCTATTTATATTAGGTAGGTACCTATACATAGTTTTTATAAATATTACGAATCCATTGGATGTGATATTTTACGCTCGTGAATACAGCAATTGAATTTTTCGAGTGTAGATCCTTGACACTAAATATTCCAGATAAAAATGATTCTGTGCCATATTCATACATAAGGCCCGAACCACCAAATCCTATAAGATTTCTTTCTCCTGTAACTAAAGTTTTGAAATATCAGTACACTTGTTTTRTTATTTATACATATTACCTACACAGAAACATATACAATTACAGTATGATGTTAATTATATTCACTGAACAAAATACTATATAAATGTTTATTCAGCTCAGTTATATAAATGTTTTTAATAATTGAACATCTGTAAAAGCCTAAAGATATATTATGATTCTGAAAGACTTGAATAATTTCAAAAAAAAAAAAACTATTATTTTATTCTGTCCAACGTGATAAGATAATTTTTTTATATTTAACACTATATATGTAGGTATGTACGGCTTGATTGCTTTAGATAGGTATATCGTGGAATTTTGAAGGAATCGAGAATAAAATAACATATTTTGTTCATATTATCTTCATTTTTTTTTTCTGGTAAAAATAGTATTTTAAACATTATATGTTATTATATAAAATTGAAACAGTCTATAAAACAGATGAAACCGAAATGATTTTTTTTAAATTGTACACAGCTGAGCTCCAATTCCGTTCAATGAATTATATATTCAAGCTATAAGAATCATCATTAGTTTTTTTTTACCCAATTTATAACCTGTGCAAAATTTATCTTTAGTCACGTAATTTTCAAATCCATCTGTATACATTTCCTGACACGTCTCTTGATCAATATATGGTAAAGTATATAATTTTAATATCGATTTAGTTTGTCCATTTCCAATCATATTATTATCCATTCCCAGGCCAAACATCTACAAAACAGATTTATAAAAAATACATTAATTTTTGGCACAAAATGATGATTAAATAAACACTGTGATTATACTCTTTGAAATAAATAATATATAATATTAATATACAAGCATAATATAGATTGTAGATTTGTAGACCTAATACGACACTTTAATGAAGTACATGAATACAATTTCATTTTATTTGACAATTATTTTAGGCAATATCCAAATAACCTAATCAGCAGTCAATTATTAAATATTTATAAAAAATATAGTTTGTAATAAAAATGTATCAATCCATGACTTAGATACTTTACAAATTGTTGTAAATTAAGCACTTTAGTTTTAAATTAATAAAATAAATTGCACAATAAGAACAGTGGTTGATATCATGAATAGATATAGGCAGGCACCATTGATAAAATATACTTAAATATATATTCAATCTAAACAATTAAGGTGATAGGTACTATTAAATAGTTGCTATTGATTACTAGTAGAATGTAATCTATTCCGTCATCTATTCATTGATTACGAAAATAATTAATCGGATATGCAATTTAAAAATTCTTCTGGAATCACGAATACAAATCTGTGTTTACAAATATCAAGACAAAACAAGTTAATTATCTCAATACTATAGACTAAACAGTGACTAGTGAGTATTTGGTAATTTGTAAACATTGAGTTTACCTTTCCTAGATCTCCATTAGAAAGAAAATGTGTATCAGACCAATCAATGGAAGCCGGCCGAACAACATTACTAACGGCTACATTGGTTGCTAACACAATGATAGAAATGTCATCAGCATAATTTCCATATGGACCATCATAAGTTTCCTTCAGATAAATTAAACCGATCTAAAATTATATATAGATTAAATATTATTATTRTTTTGAAAAAAATTGTTAAACATAATCAGACATCGAATCTCAATAAATTATTTATATTAACTATTTACTTACGTCTATAATCTGTGTATATGTATTGTCGATTATAGAAAAGTTGCTATTTTCTTTTCCAACGGCAGTTTTAAAAATATTATTTTCATTTGGTATGGTTGTCCTTCTTAACCCCTTTTTCCAAAAACAATGAGCAGCTAYAAAAAAATTTGAATTCATTTTTAATTTTTCACTAAATAGTACCTATATATGTATTATATAATGTTTACCAGATACAACTAAATTTGGAGCAATCAGTGTTCCTCCACATATTCGGAAATAACGACCATAGTTATTAATTTTATATATTTCTACATTCCAAGGTGCTATTACAGATGGTTCTTTGAATCTAATTGATGTTGATTCTTTATCTAGAGTATATTTAATAGAGAACGATCAAAAACATAAATTAATATTCTCAATTCTGGTAATCCTAGACTAAAATTAAACTAAAAAGAAATATTGAAAGTTTGAAAGTATAATATAGATTAAAGCATCATACATTGTGAAAATGATGTTGACTAAATGTTGGTAAGTGTATAGAAATAATTTAACCAGATCTAAATTTAAACTATTCGATTTCAAAATGTCCTACTTGTTTCACGGCAGTTTAATATTTAAGTGTTCTTTACAAAAATATAGTATAGTATAATTACGTAGAGTACAAGTGGTAAGTAGTTGACCACTCCATTTTGCATTTTTAAGACACAGCAACTCGTTAGGAGTATTCATTACTCCTTGCAGTTCTCTTGGTGAATTATGTACATTTTCGACTTTACACGATTGTGTTAATATAGTACCAGGCTCTGATGGCTTTGAACAATTTACATTATTTCCATTCAGTGAACATTYAATATCTAATACATCTGATACCATAGGAGTACACTTTTCTAGTATCATAAGGGAAATATTAGATTAAAAATTGTATATAAAATAAGTATTTAGCTACTTGTTTAATATTGTCTCATTAATATTGATTTACACGAWATAACATATAAATCAATACGAATAAGCGATACTTACTCAAACATAATGTATCGGAATCAAATGATTTCCATTGTCCAGACTCTGAACATACCATCAATTTGTACGGAGAAGTTTTATAATATCCTTCTTCACAGTCTTCTTCAACTATGCGATAATTATTTACAACAGACCCACGTAATAGAGGAACATTTTGAATCGTATCCTTATAAAAGTACTTAGTACCTTCAATGTTAGGTATCACGCAAGTTTTTCTAAATTCAAAATTAATAAAACAATATAATATGTTAATTTAACCTTTTACTAAACAAGTATTTCGTTTCTATATATATATATATATATATATAATTTTAATAAGTGTGAATACTTTTTATTAAATGATTGGTTTATCGATTCGGTTTCTTTGATTTTTATATCTGACGATGAAGCAGTTGTTAATGCTATAGTTTTCCATGGTGTA